ATTTCTACACAAGGAGGGTGTAGATATTATGTGTCATTTATTGATGATTATACAAGGTACTATTGGGGTTATACTTGATGAAGTGCCGATTTAAATTCTTTTCAATTTTCGTTACTTTTTGTAACATGGTCTGCACTCAATATTCTGCTGTCATTAAATGTTTTCGATGTGATCAAGGAGGTGAATACAATCTTATTTCTTTTCGTGATCTGTTGAAATCTGATGGTAAACTTTATCAATCCTCTTGCACTGGCACATCTGAGCAAAATGGTGTTGTTGAACGTAAACACAGTTATATTCTAAAGACAGCATGCTCCCTTTATTATCAGCACATGTTCCTACGCTATCTTTAATGCTGTTGCAAATGTCCAGAAAGAATTGATTGGTGTAAAATTTGTTATTCTCCTGACTTTTGTTCTTTCCTTACTTTTATTCACTCATTATTTGAACCCACCTCCTACAAGGGGGCTTTACCTCCCTTCTATTATCAGCACATGTTCCCACGCTATCCTTAACGCTCTTGCAAATGTCCAGAAAGAATTGGTTAGTGTAAAATTTGTTATTTTCCTTACTTTTGTTCTTTTCTTACCAAGGATCAAAATTTCATTTCGAAGTACCGTTTTGGTCAGCCCAAAAATAGAAACGTTTAGAAAACACAATGGAAATGCTGAAAAATATAGAAACACGTGAAAACACAAATACAATCTATTTATTTGTAAAGATAAACTTTATAATTGATTAATTGAGCATGTTTATTGGGTTAATGTCCATTTATATAAGATAACATCAAGTTTGAGGCAAAAAAAGGGTTTGACACAAGGCGAAAATTACTTCAATTAGTTTTAAACAAAACAAACACATTTTTACATGTATATATGACCATTTTAAATTAAATATGACATGTATAACACTTTTAAATTAAAATGAGCGCAAATTTATTATTTGCATGTTATTATAATACTAAATTATTAATTTAAATTGCGTCATCAAATTACTAAGTAATTATTTCATTAATATTAAAAATATTACATGAATAATTTTTACAAATATAAATACTTAATTTTAGATATTAAATATACCATAAAATTAATTGTAGTTATTTTGATAAGTTCATTAACAATAATAAGTTATTTATTAATTAAATGGGCTATTAACAACTATAAAGGAAAAAATGGGGGCCTGAAATGACATGTATGTCAATTAAAACAAAATAAAAAGGTCAAATAGTGAGTTGGTGATTCCTTCATTCCAATCGCACAGACCACAAAGAGAGAGAAAAAGAAGATCAGAGACTCCGATTGATTGCAAGAGAGAGAAGATATGAGACTCCGATCGATGAAGACTTCGATCGATGAAGAGAGAAAAGACAGATCGATGAAGACCCAACACTAGCCACCGACGGAGAAGAAGAGAAAAGAAGAAAATTGTACCCGAAGGAGGTTGTTTTAATTGACATAATTGTACCCCTGGTAAGCCGCTAACTCATCTCCCTTCGATTTTTGAGCTTGTCTATTCTATCTATCTCTCTCTCTCTTGTTTTGTTGGAGAAGCTGTCACAGGGAAATAAGTTTTTCCCCTTTTTGGTTGAAGGAGTCTAGAGTCTGGACACTACAAGTCAAATCCAGTTCCTGTTTCGACTGAAACATTACTGTTTCGATCGAAAAAGTTTGAAACAATAACATTTTGCTTGAAATGCAGGAATTTTAGTTTTTCACCCTTGTTTGGTGTCGGTGTGTTGAAAATCCAAAATGTTTCGAACGTTTTGACATGATATTTTAATCCTTGTTCCTTACTTCTATTCACTTGTTATTTGAACCCACCTCTTACAAGGTGGTTTTACTTGATCTACTTTGAAATATGTTATGGATGAACAGTTGTCTGCTTTACATAAGACCAGAGCTTGAGAGTTACTGCCTTTACCAACATACCAATGGTTGTAAGTGGGCTTATAAGATAAAAATCAAGTTTGATGGTTCTGTGGAACGGTATAAAGTTCGATTAATAGCCAAGGGTTTTGTTCGGGAATATGGTCTAGATTATAATGAAACTTTTGCCTTTGTTGCGAAGATGATAACTGTTTGTACCGTGATTGTAGTGGCTACCATTCGCCAGTAGAGTTTGTCTCAAATGGATGTAAAAAATGCTTTTCTTCATGAAGATTTAAGTGAAGAGGTTTTTATGACTCTTGGATTGCATCATAGTCCTGGTATGTCGATTTTATCGAGCTTTATATGGCTTTAAACAAGCTCTTAGGACATAGTTTGCCAAATTTTCTTCAGTTATTTGTGACTTGGGTTTTCGCGCCAGTGACCATAATTCTGTCATCTTTTTACGGTCTATTTCCTCAGGTATTATTATTCTTTTACTATATGTTGATGATATGATTATTATGGGTAATGACACTACTGATATATGCTTATTGAAAACTCAGTTGCTGGACCATTCTAAGATGAAGGATTTGGGGCAGCTTAGGTATTTTTTGGGCATTGAGATTGCTTTATCTCCTAAAGGCTATCTTCTTTCTCAGTGCAAGTATGCCTTTGATGTTATTTAACGAGCTTATTTATTAGATAATCTGACAATTGAAATGCCTTAGAGCCCAATGTTCATTACTCTTCTTCTTATGGTACTCCTTTGTCTGACCCTACACTCTATTATTGGGAGCTTAGTATATCTTACAGTCACTTGTCTGAATATCTCTTATGCTGTTCATGTTATTAGTCAATTTGTTGCCTCACCCACCATTATTCACTGGGCTGCTGTTTTTCGTATTCTTCAATATCTTCAAAGTACTCTGCATTAGAAATTATTATTTTCCTCCTCCTTTATGGAACTTGGAGCTTATTTTGATACTGACTGGGTTGGTGACTCTATATACTCTAAGTCTACCACTAACTTCTGCCTCTTCCTCGGTGATTCTCTTATTTCTTGAAAAAGTAAGAAATAAATTATTGTTTCTCGTTCATCTGTTGAAGCTGAATATCGTATAATAACATCTACTGTAGCAGAGATAGTTTGGTTACAAGTCAGTTATCTATGACTTGGGTTTTCGCGCCAGTGATCATGATTCTGTCATCTTTTTACGGTCTATTTTCTCAAGTTCTATTATTCTTTTACTATATGTTGATGATATGATTATTACGGGTAATGACACTATTGATATATGCTTATTAAAAACTCAGTTGCTGGACCATTTTAAGATGAAGGATTTGGGGCATCTTAGGTATTTTTTGGGCATTGAGATTGCTTTCTTTACTAAAGACTATCTTCTTTCTCAGTGCAAGTATGCCTTTGATGTTATTTAACGAGCTTGTGTATTAGATAATTTGACAATTGAAACACCTTAGAGCCCAATGTTCATTACTCTTCTTCTTATAGTACTCCCTTGTCTGACCCTACACTCTATCACTCTATTATTGGGAGCTTAGTATATCTTATAGTCACTTGTCCGAATATCTCTTATGCTGTTCATGTTATTAGTCAATTTGTTGCCTCACCCACCACTATTCACCGGGCTGCTATTTTTTGTATTCTTCAGTATCTTCAAGGTACTCTGCATTAGAGATTATTATTTTCCTCCTCCTCCTTTATGGAACTCGGGGCTTATTCTGATACTGACTGGGCTGGTGACTCTAAGGACCGTAAGTCTACCACTAACTTTTGCCTCTTCCTCGGTGATTCTCTTATTTCTTGGATAAGTAAGAAATAAACTGTTGTTTCTTGTTCATCTGTTGAAGTTGAATATCGTGCGATAGCATCTACTGTAGCTGAGATAGTTTGGTTACGATGGCTTCTTGCTAATCTTGATATCGTGTTATCTGCACCTACTCTTATGTATTGTGACAACACTAATGTTATTCAGATTGCTCATGACTCAGTTTTTCATGAGCACACAAAGCATATTGAGCTTGATTGTCACTTGATGCGTCATCATTTTCAGCTGTGAACCATCTCTCTTCTTTTTCTGCATTCAACTCTGCAAGTAGTGGATTTCTTAAGAAAATCTCATATCATTGCATGGTTTCAATTTCTTCTTCGCAAACTCTTGATGTTCTCTACTGTCACATTATGAGTTTTAGGGAGGGTGTTAGAGAGTTTAGTATTATTGAGGGTAGTTTAGTTATTCTCTTTATTTTATGTTGCCCTTCTATATAAGGGCTTCCATTGTGTATCTCATGCTATGTTCTAACAGATTATTGTAGCCGTAATATATTTTCATCCTTTTCTCTCTTCTCTCTTCTTTGTTTTTGATCAGTATTATCAAATGAGTCCGTGGAATTTCTGTGGTGAAGGTTTTCCATATGGGATTCGCTACTGAAGAATTTCAGGACATCTCTTTCTTTCTCGCTCTTCAAGGCTGGAATGCAATTTGTGATTAAGGAAGGATAATTTTGTTTAGAAGCTTTTTGGTATTGTATGTTTTTGCACTCTATTATACAAATGGTTGGATGCTTTGTTCACCATTTTTGCTTTATCATCATTACTAGTAGTTAAATTTCTTACCGAAAAAATAAGGTATCTTGTATCTATTAATTATAATTTACTTACGTCGAAGGGAGAAAAAAAAAGAAGGTTGTAGGCAGTAGAGTGCAGAAGCCAGGTATAGAGTCATTGCTCATACGACCCGTGAGAATGTTTTGTGATAATCGGACAGCCATGGATAACACTTTTAATCCCTTATTTTATTTGAGGACTAAGCATATTGAAGTTGATTGGTATTTTGATAAAGTTTTTTTATTATAAATAAAACATTTTTTTTTTGTGTTTATGAGATCTTGAGGTCAGTTTAGGTGATATGTTAATTGAAGTTTATAGGTAGTGTATTATTTTAGTTAATATCTATGTTCCAGTTTGAGGAGTGTTAAGTTTTAAAAGTTTGGGGTATTACTGTAGCTATTTTTATGACTCGATATATAATTATTTAGCGCATCTGCGGGCTGTGGGTTCTCTCTTCTTCTCTTTCCCACCTATTTTAGCACATAAACCCTAAGAAGGTGTACATGGAGAGGTTGCAAATACAAGCTGTAAGCAAATTTAGCATGGATTTCCTTACTCATTTGATCTAGTTCATAAGTAGTTAGCAGTCAAACGAGTGTAGTAAAGTGATTACTGCACCAATTTTATTTAGAATAAAGCAGCAGCAGCAGAAGGAACTGATAGGGTAGACAGCAAATAAGGCAACCTGTCAGTGGTGCGATATAATTGAAGATGATGAGCAAATTAAAATGCTGCTGAGATTCATATAAAAAAAAATGAACCTTAATCTGTTATGAATTAAAATAGCCTCTAGCGCAATTTCATTAGTAGCAAATTTGGAAATTAAACTTTCTGAGATCATCTTATAATAAATGAAATGTAGTCTGACTTCACTACGAAGGGACTCATTTTTTAGGGCGAGTCAAACTGTGATGCATGACTTTTTTAATATAATTTATCTATTTATTTAGTTGCTTACCTCAAAACTGCAGATAATTAGGGGGCCAACACAGGATGAAGGGGCGCTCGATGCTTTTGTTTCCATTGTGACAGGTCCACCAGGGCCAAATCCAGTGCAGTTAATGCCGAGAATCTCCTTTCCTGTCCTACTGTTATGGGGTGATCAAGATCCATTTACTCCACTTGACGGGCCTGTCGGTAAATACTTCTCGTCTCTTCCTTGCGAACAACCAAATGTATGCCTCTTTGTTTTAGAAGGTGTTGGACACTGTCCTCATGATGATAGGCCAGATTTAGTCCATGAAAAGCTGCTCCCTTGGTTGGCCTGTCTTCCTGCTTCATGAGATGTTATTTTATTTACCTCATTCCAAGTGTTAATGTGATTTTAAATTGTATGACTCCCTTGCCAATTGACATGGGTTGTCATAAGTATAGACTATGTTGTAGCCATTGTACTTCTGTACTTCTTCCTGGTTATAAACTTGGACCTCTTTGGAAACAAGATGCAAAGAAAACAAGCAGAATGCCAAATTGGTGAATAGTGTCCCTGGCTAGAACATTTGCTAATTGTTACTTCACAATTTTGCCCAATTACATTTGAAGTGAGCTTTCTTTTGAATGTTTTTAGTTTGTTTTCTTATTTGAGATCGAGGCTTGTTGAGTTGAGCTCTGTGATCTGCCATAAAAATTCCTGGTAATTAAGAGGAGCAAAAGGGACACATTTACTTCCATCTTTCTTTATTGAGTTTGTCTCAGTCCTGCAATTTATTTGGCCCAATGGGAAGTATGGATGATTTGGTTATGACTTTACAGCCCTCTCGATGTTGACCTATTAAAGGTTCCCTCCAATTAATTTGTTTCTTTCAAATAATTGTTTGTAGATGTCATTTTTTAAAAAGTTTACAGCAGTTTGTGAAATTTCATATCATTCGAGGAAATGTCTCAAGGATTGGGTGCTTTTTAGGCATGGAAAATGGAAAGACATGCTGTGATTTTGGGAATGCTTCCAGAAAGCAAAATGGTCCACCCTTTACTAATTAGGTAGGATTTTTTAAAAGTGATTGCAGGAAAAAAAATTAGGCAATTAAAAGAATGTTTTGAAATTGAGTGTAGTTGATCTTAAGATGGATGTGTGATTTCAATATGTTTATTGAAGATCTATTATTGGACTATTGAGAAAAAGTTATGTCGTAAGGTAATAATTTTTCAGATGTCACCTACCGAGTGCCAGAAAGAAAAAAAGATTTTCGATTTGTCTTTATGGTGTGCTTGGTAGGGTAGATAAAAAAAAAGAATGATGGAAAGTGAGAGTTATACACTTTCTATCATTCAAGGAAGAATATTTATTTCCCTCTTTTATGTTTGGTAGGAGAGATGAAAAATAGGATAAATTATTATTATTATTATTATTATTTTGTATTTAGTAGGATGAAAAAGTTGAAGAATAGAAAAAGTATAGATGTATATTTTACCATTGTATCCATATATGAAATTAATGTGTATATAATATGTAATAGCTAAATAGAATATATGCATACAATAATGGATATAAAGGTAAATAACATATATTTCAATGCACATAATTAATTATTACATATGATATTGAAAGAAAAATTAATTCATTCACTTTTTTATTCATCTTATTTTCATTCTTTACCAAATATGATATTTTATATATCATTCTAAGTTTCAATCCTTCAATTTTTCTATCATACCAAACAAATCATTAGTCTCTAGAGAAGGTAGTCTTCGTCCGCAAGATGGGTGGTCTCCCTATATCAAATTCTATCAGATGTAACAATCATCACACTGTTTAATCTTGTACGCTAGCATATAATGTCTTCACTTTTGGGATGCATATAAATATGTAAAAGCTAAACAATTTTTCTCTACTTTCTCCTTTAGTGTATCTAGCTTGCCACTTCCAATCCAACGAGAGAAAGGAAGAATCCATTCTTGCACTAAATTGGAGTGTGTGAGCGACCCCTGAAAGTGCACTAAGAAGTAGTGCATTTATTCTCTCCCTTAGAGTCGGGGAGCATGAGGTGAGTCATAAGCCTAGACAATGAGAATAACATGCCTTAGCTTATGGGTAAAAAAAAAAGTGTGCTTCTTCCCCTTTTGGGCATTGATGTGTATGATGCCCCTCTATTCACGTAATATAGATGTATGTATATTCCTATTGAAGATGGGAATATTGTATTTTTTTAATCAAAATATAAAATACAATTAACAGAAAATTAATTTACACAAATAGATAACTGGGAAATGTTCTTCCTTTGCATCATATGAAAACCATGATACAATAAGAGAATTGGAGATATAATTGTATTTTGTATTTTGATTCAGAAAGTAGTTGTTTACTTTCAATTCAAACAGTAATAGTTTCTACAAGTTAAACTCTGCAACTCATATGCTGCAATGCTTGTACTCACATATATAGTACAAATAAAAAGTTGAATTCTCAATTTATAAAAACACAATGGTGGTCAAGATTAACTCAACTTTCATTTATTTCGATCAAATAGTACAAAATTCATCCTAATTTTTCTTCTCAAAATATCATATTCTCTACATGATCTCCAATACTAGACAACTCAATTAATACACTCCCCAATGTCAGAAAACCCCACTAATTTACACCTAATTCTTTTATTTTCTTCTATTCACTATAATTTTAAGTTACATAATTAAATATAAGAAAAAAATAAATTGCTATATATTTAAAATATAAATGTTGTACATTTTTTGTATTGCAAAGTGACTTCATACATAGATTATTACTAGTATCTAATATTATAGTTAGAATCCAGGGTCTGGGAATCCTGGTGAATCCTGGTGCAGCTGGAGGTGGAGTAGTTCTCAGGAATGAGTGGGGAGGATTGGTTTGTGCTGCTTCATTCTGGTATGGCATTGAGACTAATATGAGAGCTGAATTTAAAGTTTTGTTGGATGGTCTTTGTATGATTGCTAGGTGTGGGTTGCTTGGAGAGAGAATTTGCATTGAGTCAGACTCATTGGTGCTGGTTAAGACTATTAAGGGCCTGTTGGATTGTGCCTGGCCTTTGTTGGGTTTTCTGGATCAGATTAAGGCCTTCTTGAACAGAATGCAGTTTACTTTGGGGCATATATATAGAGAAGCTAACTCTGTTGCTGATGCCTTAGCAAATACTGCTGTTTATAAGGGTTACTCTTCTGAGTTTGTCAACAGTGCTCAGCTGCCAGTTGCTGTCAGTCAATGTTTGCTTCAAGATCAGAGGAGTCTTCCTGTTCTGCGCAGAAAGAGCTGTATGATTTTTGATAATAAGGGTTGAGTTGGTTGTAATGCCCCTTAGCAAGGCTTGTGTTGGAATCTGTAAACAGCTGATGCTGTACTGTTTTTGAGGTATTGGTATGGGATTTTTAAAGCTGTCTTAGCTGAGGGTGCTGAATGCTGATCTGGAGTTGATTTGCAAGGAGTTGACTGCTGGTTGGTGCAAGCAGTGGTTTTGCTTCTGTTTAGGCCAACTGAGCTGTTGGTGGGCAATGCAGTTGGTTTTTTCAGCAAATGCAGCAGGTGTACAGGTGGCAGTTCAAAGGTTTTGTTCTGTTTTCTGTTAACTGCTTCTCTAACAGAATTTCTGTTACAAAACAGAAAATCTGTTTGTAACAGTTTTTTCTGTTTTCAGTTTTGTAAGCACAGTTACTGTTTTTGTCTTAAAACAGTTTCTGTTTTGATTCTTGTAATTTTTGAAAAAGGAAAAAAATAATAATATTATAGTTAGAATATTGAATTCCCAATTTATGAAAACACAACAATAGTCAACATTGATTAAATCGTTATCTACTTTGATCCAATTGTATAAAATTTATTCCCAATTTTTTTCCCTTAACAAATCTTTCTTGCATTTTTTTCAATGTCAGATAATTCAATTAATACATATTCCAAGGTCAAATAATCTCATCAATCCACACCTACCTCTCTTTTCTCTCTGTTCATTTTAATTTTAAATTGCGTAATTAAAAAACTAAATTATTATTTAAAATATAAATATTACAAAATCAATGTTTGATTTTTAGTATTGTAAAGTGTCTTCAACTAAATTCAATAAAGGTTTACCCTAAGTATTTAAATTCAACCAAATGAATCTTTGTTATGTCGTGTTTTTATCAGGGACCCAATGTAAATGCTTTTAGCATTCATACTTGTTGTCACAAGAGGAGGAGAAACTGTGGATCTTCCTTCATGAGTATACACATGGGGCACACAACACTACCTAGAAGGGAGGATGGGGGTTGAATAAATTTTTAAACTTTAAGCTTGGATAACCACAAATTAAAACCTGTTACCGCCTCAATTATCTATTCTCACAAAGATTAGAAAATTAATGGTGAGAACCCCTTTTTAACCACTCCCCTTTTAAGCATAATGTCCTTGTAAAATTCAAAAAAATTTAAAATTTTATTGAAAAGGGCAAAACAGTAATTAGATGTTATAGTATGAGTTAAAAACTTAAATTTTTCTAGAACTCGAATGACAAGATGAACCTCACAGTTGGATCCGTATCGTGAAATCTAACTACCCAGTCAATTTTTGTCAAATTTTGAGATAGTTGATTTTTTGCGTTTTTTGGGTTGATTGGGTGTCATGTGACTAAAATAAATGTGATCAAATTTTATTCGTGAAATTTGAAAAATAATTTAAAGTTAGTTCAATAAAAATGTACTAAACTTAATACGAGACAAAATTTAATTAATTCGGAATAATATCAGATCAAAAACAGTCGGCATGTGTGGTGTATTTTAAGCCATGCAATTAGAGGGTACAAAAAAGGGGGGAAAATGAAAATTTCCCCCATTGTGTTGCTGCAATTTTTGGAAAAGAGAGAGAAAGAAGAGAGAGAAAAACCAAGGGTTCTCCCACCTTCTCCGTCCGATCCACGACGATCCGACTGTTGGATCTCGTCAGGCTAAGAGATCAAGTCGCTCTACGCAACGAAAACTACGCGTACATACCAAAGATCGTGAGTTTCACCAACATCTCAAGGATGAGATTTCTGGGATCGTTGGGACGTCTTCTACACGAATATACGCTACAAGAGGTAGAATTCCTTTCCTAATTAGGTTTATTTCTAACTTAGGGTTAAAATATAAAATAGGTAGGGTGTTAGAGATGAATTCTAATGTATAACGCATACCTAGGATGATTAGATTATGAAAATGGGTATAAGACGTTAGAAACAATTCTTGCATGATT